TGGGTGGGGGGGGGGGGGGGGGGAGTCGGCACGGGATTGGCCAAGCGGCCGTGTGCACCTAGTCACCACCTCGGCAGCCTCATCCGTCAAAGCCCCCTGTCCCTTGGAACGGATGGAACATTGAAACATTAAACGCTCTTGTTTCAACGCCTAGGTAGCTGGGAAACATGAGCAATAGTAGAACTAAAACCCGCAGCACATCGCTCCCTTGGCCCCCAACGAGGTCAGATGAAACGGGCTCACTCGCGCCTGAACCTCTCAGATGACGATGCCCAACGCAGTCTGCGCGTGAGAAGGCAAACCGAGAGCCCGTTTCAGCCTGCAGCATGACCTATCCAAACGCCAACGTGATGCTATTCACAAGTGAATGAAATAAACAAATACTAATATCCCACGCCTGACCTTCCTAATTTCCACGCACAGCACCACGACACACATCGGAGCGTCCCGAGCCGCATGCAAGCACTTTCTCTCGCATATGCCAGACCCCAGATTCTGCCGCCCCGCATCATTCATCACTTGTTGCGCATGCCACTTGACACCACACAGCTTCTACACTCACATCTGCTCCTCACAAGCCCATCTCATATTTCCCATCCCGACCTCGACTCAATTTCACACCCTTTTCCTCACCCAGTCTCACCTCGAACCACCGACAAGCCCCGCCAAATGTCGCAGCCAGAGCCCTCCCTCCCGGGCGCCGACCGCATCCGCTCCCTCAAAGATGAAGACTCGATATTCCAAGCCTTCGACGCATACCCCTGGACAAAGGACACAATGTTCCTCGTACGCCGCCCTTCCCACCAGAATTCTCACGCGATCCCCTCCCCTCCCCCCGTCGACAAAAGCTAACACCGCCAGTCCGGCCTGTCCGCCATCCTCGGCCCGCCCAACACACCCGGCTCCCCGTCAGACATGGCCGTCCACGCCCGCATCTTCTACTACGCCCAGCGCATAGGCGTTCAAATCGACTTTGCCAAGTACAAAGACTGGCTGTCCAGACACCCCGGTCACAAGGCGCCCCAGGTCCTACCAGAAGAATACCGCTCCCCTTCCGCACCCTCGCCTTCTGAACCTCCACTTCCCTGGCAGCAAGCCGCCCCCAAGGCCGATCTCTACGTCGACCGTAAAGCCGCGGCTGAGAATGCGGCCGGCGACCAACCTAGCTACCCGATGGGTTTTGCCGAGATGCTCAAGCTGCTGCAGGAGGGGAAGCCCATTCCCGGGATAAAGCAGATTCCCAATACCGTTGTCAGAGATCCGGTGAGTCTTTGAGCTGATTTTTGTATATCACTCTTTCCTCACCTGGAAAAGAGGCGTCAGACTCATCATTCATCACAGTCAGTCAAACCCGTTGGTTCTCGGGCAGCTCCCAAGAAACCCTGGGAACGGGACAACCCTCAGATTGCCCCGGAAGTGAATCTTCCCAAGGCTCTCGACACCGAGTTTCCTCAACTCGACACCGAGACTGCTGAAGCAACATCGACAGCTGATCCCCTGGCTTTATAACACTGTAATGCAGCGCGTATTCTTTATATCTTGTTTCAGCTATCATTTGCATGGTGAGAAAAGGCGTTAGGACTGACCGGCGCTTTCTTTTCTTTCTTTTCTTTTATTTATTCGCTTATATAATCTTGATGAACCGCAATCAAAGTCATGAGCCTGGGTTGAAAAATTGAGGCAAAAATCATTTTGAAGAGTATACTTGAAAACATGGATGGGCGTATTACGTAGCTACAAGGAAAAATATCTGCATAGTTGGTCATCCTTCAAGCTTTGGCACGTATTAGCAGAACTTCACTACAGTAGACATCAAGTCATATTGGGCCAAAAGTTGAAAGCAAAATTCTTATATTATGCAAAGGCGATAATGACTTCAAGATCCGACTACACACACAAAGGTTTGTCTAACGATATGCCCCTGCAAATCGTGGTCCAGGACCCATACGACTACCCATACCAGGCCCAACTCCAGGTCCAGGCCGCGTAGTGACGGCGTGGTTGGTGCAAAGCATGCCGACTCGGGATCCAAACTTGGAGCCCCTGAGAGAAACCATATGCTTTCGAATGTGGGCCGCCACCATCTCGCGATGCTGAGGTGTAGCATTGTTAAGAATCCACTGCACAAGATAATTGCCATACTGGTCACTCGCAATGTCAATCAGCGGAATTCGAGTCCGGTCCAAGCGGCCCTCACAGACACGGTCCAGATAACGACCCAAGAACTCGCTGTTCCCAATCTTCAAACACTTCTCCACCACCTTGGATGCAAATTGATCAGTGCTGTACTCGGCGGCGTAACGAATGACGTGATCAACAGCCCTGCCACGGTCTGGTGGTGCGCCATGTTCGCAGATGTGTTGGATACACCAGTTTCCGAACTGTCCATGCGCAACAATATCGATGTTGGCGAGAACTTCCTCAATACAGGGGCGCTATGAGAGAGTTAGCGAGAACAAGGGCAAGAGATGCTCGTTGAGCTACTGCAAGACACTCACCTTGTCTTCCTCCAAACAATTCTCAAAGATATTTTGAACAACCAAGCTGCCAGTTTCCCCCAGAGCTACTTCATGCCACATGCCGCGCAAAGCTTTATTAACGTATTTCATAATTTGAGGTGGAGATTCGGTCCATCGAAGCTCAAAGAGTTTCTGCCATACATGACAAGCATATCGATGTATAACTGTCTCAGGGATGCGGCGGAGAAGCTCGTGGACCATGATTGCCTTGTACTCTTCGGGAACCGAATCGAATGCCTTTTGGACTACATGGCATCCAAAGGGGTCCATGGATAAGTTGAGAGTATTGCCACGGATAGCTTGGGCAATCTTAATCACCTGCTCAGGGGTTCCGTGCTCAAAGCATCTCTGAACTAAGAAATTGCCAAATCTGTTTACCATCAGAGGAAAAGCTTGGGCCACAATGGCTTCAACAATGTCGTATTTCTGGTCCGGTGTGCCAACTTTTAGCTTTTGCTGTAAGAATATGGAGGCTTGCTGATCATTATTGCACACAATCTTATCGACTATGTATTTCCAATTGCACGTCACATTACGATCGAGAAGACGACGGTAGTTGAGTGGTTCGGTTGGGGGCAAATAGGTCGGGCCCTCGGTCGGAAGTCCCTGTGGCTAGAATAAGCGGGTGATGTGAGAGAATGTATGAAGATGGCTATGTACTTACTTCGTTCTTCCAGTGAGTCTTGGATGTAAACTCGGATGCATGGGGAGACAGTGGAGTTCCGACGGGCTGTTGCTGGTACCCAGCATAAGCCCCCATCCCCATAGCACCAAGCCCAGGAGGTGGAAGCATATTTGCAGAAGCCATCGGACCCCCAATTGCTTCAAACTGAGCCATTGGTCCGTTCACAGGGTTGTAACCGATGCTGGCGAAGTGGTGGGAGTTACTGGCTCGATGATCGTACCGGTTGGATCGTCTGGTTGCGGATTGACGCATCACAAGATCTGGATCGGGGCTTAGGCGATCTCCACGATACCCTTCCATCGCTTGGTAGGACGAGCACGCGTCGGTGAAACTTTGGTTGAATCCTCGTCCTCCCAGCCAGGTTCCTGGCTGCGGCTCGGCTGCGGCGCCTTGAAGAACATTACCAGCAAGTGATCCTTTGGTGGTTTCCCAAATGCCCTTGGCACGAGTGAAGGTAGTAGTAGACATGGCTTCACTGGTGTCTGAATGGTCATCATCCGTTGCCATCCAGACGTTGTCACGAGCGGTTGTGCCCATGCCTCGAGCTGCGTTGATAGCTTGAAGATCCGGTTCACCCTTGATTGTGCGGATGGACAATTCTTGATCCAACTTGGATATTTTGTTCTGGGCTTGTGCCAGCTGAAGCTTTAGGCGAAGAACTTCATCAGAGTCGGAACGAGCTTCTTCAAGAGTAGCACTGGCTGGACGGGTGCTTGGTGCGGTAGACGAGAAACCATCCGTGGCTGGTGTGATTGGCAAGGAATTACTGGAGGATGTGTGTCCAGGGAGTCGCTGACACATGTTTCCCTCTTCGTCTCCGGATTTGAGTGCCTCGTTCTGCTGGCTAAGCACGGCTTGCTGTTCCGAAAGTCTTGCTAGGAGCTTGTCCATGGGGTAAGCTTCGCTCCTGTTGGAGGACCCTTCAGTCGCTGATTGCTATATTTTGTCTCGTTAGTGAGTTGTTGAATAGGGACAGCGACATGTGACCAACTTACGTTGGGCACGGCTTGATTAACCAGCTTCGACGTGGCAAGCACAGTGATGTTCTTTTGACCAGTGGTGAATGAGGTGTTGTCCTGTAGACCGCATCAGAAGTGTTCGTAGCTGCAAGGGCATTTGGGTGAAGAGGATGATGCATAGAAGAAGACACCCCGTGTAGAGGGCAAACAACAAGAGGAGCAGCAAGATGCTTACACCGGCTTGGCTCACGGGTGATGGTCGATCATCGCTTGTCCCATTGGGTTCTTCCTGGAAAGTGATGACTGGAATGCTGCCGGTTCGCTGAGAAGGTGAACCGCGTGATTCGGAGGAGACCATGTTGGAGCGTAATGCAGCCACAACGCTGGAAAGTATCGAAAAGAAATAAATAACAAACGACTGTGCCTATTTGCAGGAGACACAGGCAATAAAGATTATGAAGATTTCACTCAAAAAACAGACCTGTTAGATCGCAGACAGAGGTGATGTGGGAAAACCAAGACAGTGGTGCGAAGAAATCAGAAGAGATGGGGAACAAAAGGAAGAGAAAGGAAGAAGATGGTGTGACGACAGATGGCTGCACTAATATGCTAGATTGACGACGAGCTTGAAAGAGCGACCTGACAGAGAAAATGGCAAGTGCCGGCCAGTGTGAAGATGGCTTGGGTCATTTCCGGCGTGCAGATTAGAAGAAAAGGCAAGATAAATGGCGGGAAACGAGATAGTAGCGAGCGTCCTCGCCGGGGAGGGAGAGTGGAGAGAGAGACGGAAGAATCGTGGAAGTGGAAGTGGAAGGGCAAGACGGAAGACGGGAGACAGACGAGGCGAGTTTTGAGCAAATCCAGCAGACTCGACCGAGCTTTAAGTCAACGCTAGGGCAGGCTGACTGCTATGAGCCACAGCTGCTTACACCTGGCAAACCGATGCTGGCAGGTGCTCAAAGCCTCGGTGCAGAACAGTGAAGGGGTCAAACGACTCTAGTACTTTAGTAGAATGCGACAGTTGCTTACGCCATAAAACCCAACAAACGATCATGGGAGTGAATCAAGTCGCCTCAATATCTTGCGGGTCAGCTTCAGACCTAATCATCCCACAAAGAATGCTTCTCGCACTGTTTGTACTAGCTTTGGCCTGTTAGCGTCACAACTGTTTCAACATAATTCACAACACGTCCAGCATCAACAGTACCAAGATGCGAACTTCATGTTGCATAACTCAGTACTTCAATACTTCCCCCTTGTGTTCTACATTTCAAGGGTCTGGCGCACGTCACGATAGTCTCGACATATTCGTATTTTATGCGCCCGATCGAAAATGTATGGGTAATTCGTACAGTAAAATATACACACTCCATCCATGGAGTCCACCAAACCATGGCCTTGCAGACCCCACGGGCCATCAAATGGTATCGAATTCCTCGTTGACGTTATTTTCAAATCGCAAGACGACGCTTCCGTTCATGCGCTCGCGCCATTTTCGCACATTACCCTCCAGTGCCGCAGTCGGTCGTTTTATCGCTTCCTGCCCGGCTTCTCGGCTGCTCAGTACGTTAGCATAGGCTCTGCCCTCTCAATCAAAGTCTGTACGTACCAGGAGGACCATTCTTCTTTTTTGGCGCGCTCTTTCCACGCTGCTTCAACCTAGACATTACGGGTCAGAATCGTTGTCGTTGCATTTAGGAGACTGAGTCGTTCATCTAGCGTACTCGTCAATGTATTCAAACCGGTCTTCTTCGGCCTCATCCCACGTTGCTAAGACAGGTCCAAATTCGCGCTTCACGTCCTTGATGGTAGCAACCTTTCTCGGATAGTAGGCGGCGACGGCCGGGCCTTTTAATCGCTGACGCAGGACCTTGTTACCCATGCGCACGCCTTCCGGGTTGTATGTCGTCGCGAAGACCTGGCATTGCGCCTGCAAACGTCAGATGGGTAGTCGCATATGAGTTGGATATAGCCAAACCTTCATTAAGTCTAGTAACCGAGCTCGTGTTACACTCATCTTCGCATACTTATAGTTGCTGATGCCGTCCTTTACTGGTCAAGTCGAGAATTGACGTTGGCAAGGAGCTGTGCCTGGGCTCTCTTGGACCCACTAATTACTTGATTTATCCAGAATTTTGGTTCGAACAATCTCAATGTTCCAGAGGCAGAACCAATTGACTGGTAAATTGCAGAGACGTAGGCAAGGTAATTATAAGGGTTCAAGCAATATATACAAGCACGAATGCATGCCCAACATACGCCCATACACGCGCCAACATATACATATTTTCACACTGGACCAAAGGCGCACGTGATCTATCGCTGCTGACTGGCTACACGCCTCGGTGTGGACCCACCTCATAGTTTGTCAACGTCGTTTTGCTACACTGTCTTCAATAAATTTTTTGAAAGTAATTTTCAAAGTCTCAACACTAAAACCCTTTGTTTTTGAAAACATGTCAAAAAGACCCGCACAGGATAGTGCCAGCCAAGAGAGCAAAAGGAAAAGATATAGTCCTCCTACCGAAGAAAATGTGGCATCAAACATCAGAGTACCTGGTCCTATCCCGGCCATGTTTGCATTAACGCCGTGGCTTTCTTCAGATATACCTTCAGGTCTACCTTCTATTCCGAAAATTTTAGATCCGGAGCTTGAAGCGACTGTTTTCCGGCATCCAGGTCTGAGTGACCCTCTCCGCAGCTATGAACGTCTCGAATGGTTAGGTGATGCCTACTTGGAGTTGATTGCATCTAGCTTGATCTACCAGACATTCACCTCCACTCCTACTGGAAGATGTTCTCAACTGAGAGAAATACTGATCCGAAACAAAACTCTGGCACAGTACTTCCGCGAGTATGGTTTAGAATCCAAGGCTCACTTACCAAGTGACTTGAAGACGGACATTTCACGCAGTCGAGGAAGTTCGAGTGACAAGGATATCATCAAGACACAAGCCGACATGTTTGAGGCATATGTTGCCGCCGCTATTATTTCTGACCCTGAAAACGGCATGGCCAACACAGCATCTTGGCTCAAATCGCTTTGGGCCAGGACTATCAAGAACCAAATCTTGAACAACGAAAAAAATCGCAAGCTGGGTACTCAGCCCAGTTCCACAGCGCAGGGGAGCACCAAAGACATGGCGTCTAGCAGCAATCTCAGCGCCAAAGAGAGGCTGCGTATAGAAATTGGAGTCAAGGGCGTCCTCATTCGGTACGAGGACATGCCCAGAATAGGCAAAGATAGGGACCTTGGCTTGCCTCTCTACACGGTGGGTGCGTATTTGGATGGGTGGGGTGAGAGAAACAAGCTCCTCGGCACTGGAACGGCCCTTGGGAAAAAAGAAGCGGCACAGAAAGCAGCGCAAAAGGCGCTGGAAAATAAGAAGCTCCTCAAGCCGTACGTGGCAAAGAAGGCTGCGTTTATGGAGGCCACCAAGGCTGCTGAAGAAGCTTAACAAATGTCTCAATTGTGGAACGATATCTGCGTTGTAGATAGAATTTGCTTGTCATGATACCCATAATGTTTATCGATCATTTATACAATCGCACATAGGTGACTATCATATGAGAAGAGAATGGCGCGGAACATTCAGTACGGTGGGGGACGAGGATTTTCACCTACTACTGCTTGGATTTCAGCAGGGCCATTCTATTCTCTCCTTTGCTCATAACACAGTTTGTCAGATACTTGCCAGAGTTACTTCCTGTAGATTCACAGGGTAGAACAGCGCAGCAGGGCTCCTACCCTGCTGCGAGAAGCCGCCGCTGGGTCATGATGCGATTCGCAGTCAGTGCTCATCTGAGGCCGAGGATCCCAGCGACTCCAGCACCCCAAGTTAAGGCTTAACATGTTGTCCACCTAAGTCCATTCTTCACTGCCCGAGTCCTCACAGACGATAGCTTTACTGACAAGGAAACTCAGCATAAAGTACTCTGTGAAGAAAATGTGTGTTGTGAATCGCAATGATGTAGTGAATCAAAGCGTGTTCGTCGCCTCGGGCTAGTGCTATTCCGTGCGGGCAATGTCTAACTTTGTCATTCTAGCAACCATATCGGTAACGCGTCAAAGTAAAGAAGTCCGGGGAACGGACCAATTAGACATGACCGGGTGCCGAATCAGGGCCAGTCACCCGTTGACACCATGTTTGGGGAAGGTTTATTCACCCACATCTCTAGCCTCGGTCGGCACCTGCCAGTCTGCTCGTGTCTGGTTGTGCTTTCAGGCATCCATCCACCACCACCTGCTTCCGCAGTGGCGGCTCCAGGGGCCTCGGCTGACAGCCATCAATTGATCGACCTTCTCGTGCCACTCTGCTCTGGCCCAACCATCAAATGGCCTTCAACATCATCATCGCGGTAGACGCAAATTTTATTCTGTCTCGATCGGGCACGCGACGGCAACGAAGACATTCTCGTTGAAGCGCAAATGTTCTGCGATTTCCGCCCGCCTCTCATTTCGTCATCTTCCCAGTCTTTCCTACGGCCCGCCGCCTAACCTAATCTGCTATCTACCATCCACCATCCTCTGTCGGCGCGTCGATAGCAGCGAATGGCATATCCAATTGCGATACGAACCAGCTATCAAAAGCATCTCACCGCTTCAACTAGCTGAGCTTCTCAACAAAAAGCATACAACATAGATACCCAGGTGCGGCAGACGCTGCACCAATCTGTATCATCATGGCCGACTCCGTAGGTACGTCAATATGCTGTTTATCAACCACCACGGCGCAGATCTTGGCCCTATCAGGATGCTAATCAGAGCCATTGCTGCCGTCAGATCGTGTGTTCGTCCATGCCCTCAACACAGTCAAGAAGATCCCCAAGACCGGCGCATCACGGCCGCCGCCATCTGATCGCCTCCGCCTCTATGGCCTTTACAAGCAAGCCATGGAGGGGGATGTTGATGGTGTCATGGAACAGCCCACCGCTGGGCCGTTCCTCACAGCCGAAGAATTACACAGGGAGAGAGACAAGTGGGATGCTTGGAACTCGCAAAAGGGCCTTAGCCGAACGGAAGCCAAACGCAGATATGTGGAAGCGCTTATCGAAACTATGTACCGATACGCCAACACATCGTACGTTGCTTGTATCGATCTACCATTCTCGCCGGCGAGATTACTGATATGACATTACAGTGATGCCATCGAGCTTGTCACTGAACTAGAGTTTGTTTGGAACCAAATAAAGCACAACTCTCCAAGCTCAACCGATTCATCTCCGAAGGCGCCCGCGCCCAGCAAGGGCCCTCGGACGTTCCAAGAACCTTTGAGTGGCAGCGATGGCCCTATGAAGATATTGAGCCCCATGAGCGAGCAAGACGAAGCTGAATTGCGATCTCAGCGCATGATGGACCTGGACGATGCCGTGGAAGAAAGCCGAGAGCCGGAAAGCCAAGACCAGAAGTCATCGAGATGGCAGAAAAAGGTCGAGCGCGCCGTTACTAAGCTGTCGGCAGAGGTCGCTGCTTTAAGAGAACAAATTACGACTGGTAGGGAGTGGCGATCAAAGAAAGAGCGAAGCTTTCCTGCGTGGTTTGGCTGGCTTCTCTGGATATTCCTGAAGCATTTGCTTGTGGACTGCGTCATTCTTTCCATTATCTTGTTATGGATGCGGAAACGCAAGGACAGGCGCCTGGAGGACTTGGTCCGGTCCGCGCTGAAGATTATACGAGAATACGTTCGGAATATTCTACCGTCGAGGTGAATAAAGGAAATTCACTACAAATGACAAACGACGGCACAACCCACCGCGCTTTTTGACTTGCCACTAACATCGCCAGGGGCGGTGGTATAAAGAGACGGGCACGCTGCACGCGGCATCTATGTCATCTAGCAGACGCGCCAGAATGCCCTAGACATAACACACGCGTTGGGCACGCTTCTGTCCACCCCTCGCTAGGACAGAAAAGCACATGTGGCGGACCAACAGTTCATCAACAGATTCTACTTGTGCTGAAGACACCAGATTCGCTTCTAGCACTCAGCACAAGTAAACTGTCATTAAGAGGTGGGATCTTTATCCTTTTTAATAGACGACTCATGAGGATTTACATGTACAGTTAGTTATACCGGGAGGTGATTTTGATATCAGCCGTGCTCAAGGCTGGAAAAATATAATACAGATAGAAGGGACATGGCGCATGTCGCCCATCTACCACCGCCCCGACGCCAATAAGCTCAGGCATGATGAAGTTGTGCATGTTGAACAGGCCCCCTTCCTCCAGCGTCAGTCAATTCTCCCATCAGACGGGCAACTCGACAGCCGCCGCAGCTGCCCACAGCTGTCAAACGCATTCTTCCCAGATCACTACTCCCCATCCCATACGCATTCCCAAGTTCTCCTCTCCTCTCCTCTCCAACTCTTCCACTCCAACCATTAAAAGACTTTAAACCACGATGAAAATTCCCAAAAATGTCCACCCCAAAACCACAAACGCCCTCCTCCTCCTCCGCGGCAAGCCTCCAAAACGACATCCCACCGCTCACCACGCTCCTGCCGGCTATCTTCGTCCCCGTAACGGGCGCCTTCTTCACACACACGCCGCCAGCCACGCGGGCCGCCCAGATCCGCGAGTCCATGGCCGCGCTGGAGACGCACTCGGCCCACGTGCGCGCCAACATCCTCGCCCTGACGGAGCAGGAGTGCCGCCGGATATCGCGCGACGCCGAGATCCAAGAGGCCCGGGCGGGCGTGGGCGCGCAGCCCCCGCCGCGGAGGAGGCTCGCCAGCGCCGCGGACAAGGCCGCCATGGTCGCCAACATGCAGGCGGCGTGGGAGCCCAGCGCGGACAGGGAGCTGCCGCGGACGCCGGACTTTTCGGGCTGGCTCGTCTCGAGCCCCCGCGAGTGGGGGGAGAGAGAGGTGCTGAGGACGGTGGCGAGGACCATGGCGGACTTGAAGGGGTTTGGGGAGCACGTCGCGAGGGTGAGGGGCCGGTATGAGGAGGCGCTGCAGAGGGAGGAACGGAGGGAGCGTGAGCGGGAACTCCACGAGAAGAAGTGATTCGCGTGGTGGGCGCAGATGGGCGGCAAGAAACGCCTTTGTGGGAAGGGGCAGGGCTTATGGTTGATGAAGCATCAAGGTACGGGGCGAGATGAGGGAGACAACCGGTACAACATCACGAAAAAAAGGAAAAGAAGAGAGAAAAAAATGCGTAGTACTGTCAATATGGTAATTATTTACCCCAACTACTCACCCTTCTTCTAGCCCGCCGTCATATATGTACAAGAGACACCAACAACCACCAAAGCTGACAAATGGAATCTTTTTAATTTGGTACAGCCGACAGAGTCTTCTTACACTCCATAAGCAACCTGGCCCATGGGCTTATCTTCCTCCATTCCAGGCGCCATAAAGTTCGTTCTGGGATCACCCGTAGCCTTGGACGCGGAGCAGCGTGCCATGGTTGGTGAACTGAGGGAAGAAAATATAGTCAGCAGCTGGAACTTGGCAATCAGAGCGATTTGAGTTGAACCATACCTTCTAGAGATGACGTCTGTGAAATAAAAATTGTCAATAACCTTCTTCAAAGGCTCTCCAGTAGCCTTTGACCCCTTGTTCTGATCCACCAACTGAACCTTGCTAAGCTGTCGGAGAGCAACGGGCTCAACAAAGTCGTACGCGGCCAGGGCCGGAGAAATCTCAATCATACGGTCCCGAACAGCGGCGAGGTCGTCATAAGGTAAAGACACACCAAGGAATTCACTGGCAGCACGGAGGATCTTCCAGTCAGTGCGGGAAGCACCCGGGAGAGAGGTGGCAGCACGGGTGGTCTGGACGCGGCCCTCGGTGTTGATATAAGTACCGGCCTTTTCGGTGTAAGCAGCACCGGGCAGGATGATGTCGGCAATCTGGGCGCCACGGTCGCCGTGGTGGCCCTGGTAGACTACAAAGGCATCCCGGGGTATGTCGGCCTCGTTGAACTCATCAGCACCCAGCAACCAAACGAACTTGGGTTTGGTCTGGGCAACCTCGGCCGAAGGCGTCGTGAAGCCCACTTCGAAAGCACCGGCTCTTGAAGCTTCTCTCTGCAGGACGTTGTAGCCATCCCATTCAGGAGTGGTAAAGTTTGCAGCGTTCTTCTCAACAAAGGCACCAACAGTCTCGTAGAAGGCCTTGGCATCAGCATGGTCGGTAACACCAGAGCCAACGATAATCATGGGCCTCTTGGCAGCCTGTAGCTTCTTGCCGAAGGGGCCGGCGAGAGCCTTTTTCAGGGAGGCATGGTCGGTTCCAAGGTGCTCAAACTCAAAGGTAGAATCCCACGTCTCACCAACAACACCAATCTCGAGGTCGGATCGCAGCCACTGCTTGCGAATGCGGGCATTCAAGACGGCGGCCTCGTGGCGGGGGTTGCTGCCAACGATGAGAATGCAGTCGGCCTCCTCAATGCCCCAGATACGTGAGTTGAACAGATAGTTGGATCGAACATCGACGCCATGGGCGATAGGTTGGCTACCGGTGGGAGTGTCGAGAGCGAGGTTATCGGATCCAAGCTTATTGGCCATGTCCTTGGCGACGACCAAGGATTCGACCTCGGTCAAAGCACCAGAGATAATCTTAAACTCGTTGCCCTGGGGCTTCTTGGCCGCCCAGGCCCTGGCCACTTCAGTAAGGGCCTCCTCCCAGTCAGCGGGCTCAAACTTGCCCTCGCGACGGATCAAGGGCATGGTCAGTCGCTGGGTCTTGAGACCATCACATGCAAATCGGGTCTTATCATTGATCCATTCCTCATTCACATCATCGTTGAGGCGTGGGATAACACGCATAACCTCCAAGCCTCGAGAGTCGACACGGATGTTGGAGCCGAGGCCGTCGAGAACATCAATGGACTCGGTGTGCTTCAGCTCCCAGGGTCGGGCACGGAAGGCGTAGGGTTTAGAGGTCAGGGCGCCGACAGGGCATAGGTCGATGACGTTTCCCGAAAGCTCAGAATCCAGGCTCTTCTCAAGGTAGGTACCAATCTGCAGATCGTTGCCGCGGCCGGTAGAGCCGAGCTCAGGAGCACCAGCGATATCGTTGGCAAATCGAACACATCGAGTGCAGTGGATGCATCGGTTCATCGACGTCTTGATCAGCGGTCCAATATTCTTGTCCTCGACGGCACGCTTGCCTCCAATCTCGTGGAATCGGCCGCGGTCGGCTCCGTATCGCATGGACTGGTCCTGGAGATCACACTCGCCCCCCTGGTCGCAAATGGGGCAGTCGAGCGGGTGGTTGGCCAGCAGGAATTCCATAACACCCTCCCGGGCCTTGTGAGTAATGGGCGAGTTGGTCTTGACGACCATACCGGGCTGCACTGGCCATGCACATGAGGCCACGGGCTTGGGGGCCTTTTCAACCTCAACCAGGCACATTCGGCAGTTTCCGGCAATCATGAGTTTTCTGCAACATTTGTTAGCGAGTCTCGTGTTCGGTATCGGCTAATCAAACGGGGAATCGTACTCATGGTAGCAATATCTAACTCAACCGTTAGCAATCTTCTTCGAACCGGGTTGCATCTCCTGGGGCCCGCACTTACCTAGGAATCGTAACGCCTGCTTTCTCGCACGCTTGGATCAGGGCAGAACCAGCTACACTTCGGGTCAACAACAATTGGCGCCAAACCCGGTACAAAAGTCATCTCATACCTTCAATCGAAACTTTCTTTCCATCTAGTATCGCATTAGCACATGTGCAGGCGTCAATGGGCGAGGCAGGGCAAAAAGCTGCTCACCAACTGTCAGTTCAACCTCCGCCTGGCGTCTGGGGGTGGTAGCGAAGGTCCGCGAGGCGTTGACGGTCCGCCTGCTTGTCCGCCAAGCCGAACGTGCCAGAGACTGTCGGAGCATCGTGTCGCCTTGACGGAATAAAGGGGATGGACGATGCAAGGCGCTGCAGCGAAATAAAGGCTCAAATCGTTGACGTCTGGAAGAGAAGTGGCCGAGCGGAAGCATTAGCAATGATCCACATAACACCGATTAATTTACATGCGCTCTGATTGGCTGGCTGCTAGCATGGATGAATGCCTGAGGCCGGAACGTTTAATCGAATCCACCATAAACCTTCATCCGAAATTTCCAGAGCTGGAAGCTTTTTCTTTTTCCTTTCCAATATTAATTGTACACGAGCACACTTTATTGTAGGTGAGCTTGAGCTTCGCATCCGCACCAGTGGGCGCGATGTCTTCAGTCGAGTCTTCCTCTATCTTGTGCCCCAGAAAAATTTTCCAGTACGCCGATTATGGAAGCATTTGAGAGAATTAATCTCGATGAGCGCTGCCTCTTACCGCCGGTCGTTACATTCCATCATATGACTCCAATCCTAGGCAATGATGTGTGTAGATGCAGATTCGCAGGAGTTCGTCGTGGGGTGATGTGTCTTCTGATGGCTATGTATGGTACATAGAGAAACCCGCTATGAGCTACAGCTGCACTGCATGAGCCGTCCCGGCCGAGGAACCTCACCAACCCATCTTTGTTCCTCCTCTGCATCACCTTTGTACACAACACCATCAAATATCTTGCCATGCCACTCATCTTCAAACGGGTTCAGGGCCATGTGCATGATGCGGTTCAGAACATCTCGCTCTCCTTCCTTCTCGACTCGCCGAATAACCTCATCCAAGACCCAGCTCCTTGGAACAAAGTTTGGATTTACTCGCTTCATGGCCTCGATTCTCTCCTGGTCCCTTTCTTCCGAGACTCGTTCCCCATCTTTCCAGTCCTCCACTACGCGAGCGTGCCACTTCTCCAACCATTTCGCGACACGGTCGCGGGCCTCATCCTCACCCACGGTACCCGGCGGTCCCTCCGCATGGAAGAACACAGCAGCCTTTTCCCTTCTTCCTTCTGGCGAGGACACCTCTGCCAATTTGACATTGCTAAGCCGGCGGAAGAAGTGGTTAAAGTCCAGTTCTAGGGCTTCAAGGGTGTCGAGAGCTGGACTGAATAGCTCATTAAAATCAGTGGGTTTGAGTTCCCGCAGGCCCAGCCTAAGCGTCATCAACCTCTTGTACTCTCCCAGAAAGACCTCCTTGAACTCATCGCCGGTTTGCATAATGAGCTTTTCCGCCCGTGATATGACTTCCTCCTGCTGGTCTTCCTTGACGCCCTCCGATATGAAGGTGGCATCGTCAGCAAGCCCTGCCGCGCCCATCAGTTCCCCCAAAGCCTCCCCGAATCGCACAAGATTCCACCAAATAATGGTGGGCTGATTTCTATAGCTATATCGTAGCGTATAGTCGTCGTGGTTTGGCGTATACGACGGGTCAAAATTGTCCATGAATGCAAACGGGCCAAAGTCTATCGAGAGGCCATATACAGACGTATTATCAGTATTCTGCCAAAAAATAGTCAGTCCCAGCTGCCAGACGTTGAGGTTATCATGGTTCAATCCGACTCACCAAAACACCATTCATAAAGCCGTACGCTTGCCAGGCGGCCACCGTCTTGGCGTTGCGGCGGGCAATCTCGCGATACAGCCTGGCGAACCTATTCTCGGCCGTCTCCGCAGGTCCCTGGAGCTCCTTCTCTGGTACTCGGCGGCCTGGGACGGGCGACTGCTGGGGCCTCTCGGGATCCTCCAGCCGCGCGGGCAGGTTCTCCCAGCCGCCAAAGACATGCTCGGCAGTATACGTGGCCAGCTTCCGTATCAAGTCGCGGTCGCCCCGCGCACGCAGGATATCAAAGTTGCCCAGGCGCAGCCACGACTCTGCGAACCGCAACACAACAGCGCCCGGCTCGATGCTCTCGCGCAGGACCTTGGAGTGCGGGAGGAGGGTGAGGGACAGCGCGCGGGTGGAGGGTATCCTCAGGGCGTTGAGCGCCTCGGACACGACGAATTCCCGGATGCTGGACCGCAGGACGGCCTTGCCGTCTGCGAACCGGGAGTACGGCGTCAAGCCGGCGCCCTTTAGCTGCAGCTCGTACTTCTTCCCCGTGTCCGGGTTCCGCGACTCGAACAGGGATATGGCTCGCCCGTCGCCCAGCTGGCCGGCCCACTGGCCGAACTGGAAGCCTCCGTAGCACTGCGCCCACGGGTACCCGCCCTCCAGCTTCTCCTCGTCCCATCCGTACAGCTTGTTGCCCGCGACAAACTGTCGAAAGTCGTCCGTCTTGTCCTCTCCAGCCTTGATGCCGATGTCGCGGAGGGCGGCTGGGCTCACGGCCAGCAGCTCGGGGTCTTTCTGCCGCTCCGGCCGGACCCAGGTGAACAAGGCATGGCGGACTTGCCTCGGCAGGATCTGGTCTCGGGGCGTCTTGTGCGAGTCGGCGGGCGTGGGGAAGACCGAATCGGGCGGCAGGGATTCAGTAAAGTGCCATGATTTCGGAAGGTCTTGAAGCGTGGCGCCTGCGGCCGTCGAATGGTTCGCCGTCATGTTGAACGGAGCTCGGAGTCGCGGGGCAGCTCTTCGCAGAACTGCGCGGTGTAGCATCAACGGCGGTTCGGCCTTGGTTTTCGCTGTTGCACGAGCTTGGGACGGGCTTGGATCAGTGTGAAGCGTCGATTATGGATCATATTTCAAGAGACTCCTGCTCCTCGTGGTTCCGGTGGCCATGGGGCTGGTAAACCGGAAACGTGGTTGACGTCAACGCAACGTTGTCGGTCCGGATGGATAACATCATTTCAGCCCCACTTTGCGGACGTTCGGACATGGACAGTGTGTCCGTAGGCGACACTTTGCAGCAAGTCAGCAAGTTGAGTAAATTAATAAAAAAAAGAATACAAGGTAAGAAAAATGAGACATGATTATGTAGGTGAAATAATCATTGGGAATCAGGACCCAGCCGTTTACAAGCTTTTATAGACCCATACACCACGTAACCATGTGCCGTCAACGTCGGTTCCGACTCGATGCTTACCCTACGACCTCGGTGCCTGTGGTGCTTACATGCATCAACTCCGTCGACTCAAGTTGCACATCATACACCTACCTGCATCCAGTCTTGATGAAGAAGAAATGAGAAGGAAAATTGTGTAGATTTAGTGGCTCATTACCAGGCCGCGCTCCGCACTCCGGTCTGTATTTGTAACACGCCTTGTTTCCGTTCTTAATTCCGGTTTCGACCTTGGCGCCCGGCAATTGACTAGCCCGACCTCCACTGTTGCGGGGAGGCGTCGATTTCGCAATATGTCCAACACCTTAGCACATTGCGACTGTGCTCTGCTCATTTTCTTCTCCTCTTTTTCAATAGTCTCATCTTCTCGCAACTATACATCACCAAATCACACTCATACCCGCACACAAATCCAACAACATGGCCTCAAGTGACGCAGCTTCAAAGGGCTCGTTCCCACCAACCCTAAAGCTCAACGACGGCAACGAGATTCCAGTGGTGAGCACCCATGGAGGATGACATGGTTCACTCTTTCTCCTGGCGCCTTTCCAACAGCCCCCCTCGTCAGATGATTCCACTCGATACTGACAAAACTCCACAGCTCGCATACGGCCTCGGGACGGCCAATTACAAGAGCACCTCGGGCTATGACGAGTCCGTCGTGGCCATCACCAAGACGGCCATAGCCCTCGGATATCACCACCTCGACGGAGCAGAGGGCAAGCGCAGCCAACTCAAAAAGCCACGGCCCCCATTGTCAGACTTTACTAACAAGCGACCAGTGTACGGAAACGAAGAAGAGCTAGGGGCGGCCATCAAGGCGTCGGGCGTCCCCAGAAGCCAGCTCTTCGTCACCACAAAGGCGCACGGCGAACAGCAAAAGCCCACGCAGGAGGCCTTCGAGCTGTCCCTCAAGAAGCTGGGCCTCGACTACGTCGACCTCTACCTCATCCACGGACCCTGGTTCGCCGGCTCGGACGCGGAGCTGCAGCGGAAATGGGCCGACCTCGAAGCCATCAAGGCCTCGGGGAGAGCCAAGTCCATTGGCGTCTCCAACTTTCTCCAGGAACACTTGGAGGTTATCCTCAAGACGGCCAAGGTGGCCCCGGCCATCAACCAGATCGAGTACCACCCGTACCTGCAGCACGGCGACCTGGTCGCGTTCCACAAGAAGCACAACATTGCCGTCTCGTGCTACGGGCCCCTGCTTCCGCTGACGAGGGCCAAGGGCGGCCCCGTTGACGCCGTGTGGTCGGAGCTGGCGGCCAAGTATGGCGTTTCCGAGTCCGAGATTGGACTGAGGTGGATCTTGGACCAGGGGCTGGTTGCGCTCACGACGAGCTCGAATAAGGGCCGGCTGCAGGGTTACCTGACCAAGCTGGCTGCGTTTCAGCTCACGCAGGAGGAGGTGGCGCGGATAGCAGAGGTGGGCAACCAGCATCACTTCCGTGGGTTCTGGTTGAACAAGTTTGGCCCGGATGACAGGCGGTAAAGCAGTAGGTCGTCGGTAAACTCCCATAGAGGACAGTAGTGGTTGCGATGGAAAAACAAGCACAAGTATTGTTTCACCTTTGTAAATTACATGTGTGTGGGTAGAATTCGTGATGCCTAGCATACACCCTGGAGCATATAGCCACACAGCCTCCCCCAATCTCATAATTCGTCGTCGTCCGAATCACCCGCAGCTACCACCTGCTTCTTCTTTTGAAACGGCAGAGCCCGCGGCGGCGGAGGCGCATCTCGTTTCTTTTGTGGTGGCGATGGCTCCCTCACAGCTTCGCCCACCGTCCCGCCCATGTCTTCATCCTCGTCCTCGTCCTCATTCGCCAGAGAAGCCGTCGCCTCCGTCGTACTCTCCGCATCCTCATCTTCCGGCTCATCCTTGGCTGTCATATCGACATCCTCCTCTGGGGACTCATTCTCAACAGCCTGGGCCTTTCTCTTGGGCGCCTTCTTCCCCCTCTTGACAGTCTGTACTTCCTCCACCTCGCCCGCCTCTCCGCGGTGAGCGCCATTCGCAGACAATTCCGTGATGATCTTCTGCTGCTCCCGAATCTTGACCTTCTTCTCATTGAGCAAATCTCTAAACTTTTGCAGCACCGCCACCTCATCCTCCTGCTTGGCGGCGACGAGCTCATCCAGCTGGGACCTGAGCTCATCCACGGAAGTCTGCAGGTCTCGGACCTGGGCGTCGGACGCGGACGCGGCGGCTTTGGCCTGGGTGACGGCGTCGACGGACGTGGCGCACCATTCAAACAGCTCGATGGCCTCGTCCCCGTCGTAGCCTAGCGTGATGGCGCCGAGACGTTGCTGTTGTTGCAAGACTTAGGGTTTGGCAATCAAGTGAGAGACGGGGTAAGCACGTACAGTGATGCCTTGGACCTGTTTCCGGACGGTGAGGGATATCGACGATCCGCTCTGCACCGTGGCGGATGCCTGAATATCCGGAAGCGGCTGCTGCTCGAAGACGGACTGCAGTACGGTCTGCCATTCTGCTTCGGAGACGGGGCAGTTTTTGACGCGGAGAGATGCAACACGGTCATGCCGTACTGGGATGGATTTGGATTTAGCACGGGTTCCTGCATCTCTTGATTTTTTTTTTTTTTCCGTCTTTGGAAATGGGCTGCGCGTGGGTGCCGGGGACAAAAGCGCAGGGCTATTGTGAACTCACACGAACACACGTAGGGCGCCTCGCCTTCTGTGCCGACCAGTTTCAGGTCCAGTGGCTTTGAGCCCTTTGACGAAACTTGGACGAGAACGTACGATAATTCGTTCTCGCTTTGGGAGAATTTGAGAACCCGTTTGGGGGCCATGGTGTTGTGTGAGAATTACGTGGTGAAGGCGAGGTGGTCAAGCTGTCACCGACTCACCAGGCGGGAGGGCCTGAATCTTTGTATCCCGGGGGCGTCTAGCAAGTGCACATGTGCCTGTAGCCCAACGTCTCCACTTCTGCGGCTGCACCAGACGTCACAGTGCCTCCAGGTCTCACAACACATCAAGCATTCGTGGCATTCAAGGCGTCCGATCTCCAATCCGAGACAATGTTGGAGAAACTGCGTCATTGACAAGGGCATTGGACTGCTTTGCATCATCTACAATCATTCGAGATTGAGACACCGAATGGATCCCCACATTGTCAGGACTACCCGCTGACCACTGCTCCCAGTCTCTTCCTCGTACCAAGTTTTTACACAAAGTGACATCACGAACCACCACCGGCTGCGTCCAAAGCACTCAGTATCCTCTGCGTAACCCGAACCTCCGGGGACAATCGCCCCAACGCCAGAGCAAGCTCCTCGGCAGCCCTCGCCAAAGCCTCATCCGAAAGCGGCTCCAGCGCATCCAGAATAAACAGCACGCGCGTGGTATCGTCAGTCAGCGCCGTCCGCGGACCCTGCCGCCAGTTCCAGCGGCGACAAGTGATGCCGGCATCGTCACACCAGATGGGTTCCCCGGGCGCGGCGCGTGCCTCGCCGCCCGACAGGGTGCGGAACTCCTCCCGGCCGCTGGCGCGGGTCAGAAACGGCGACCCGTCGTACCTGTCGGGGTCTTCGCCGCCGAGGCGAACCTGGTGCTTGGCCGAGACGGCGTTGTAGATGTCCGTCGGGCGATTCACGCGTGGCAGGCCGCCGGCTGCCGCGGCGCGGCGGGTGAGTGCCTCGAGGCTGTTGCGCGTCTTTTGCGGCTTCGCCGCATAGGCCCTGTACGTTTCTCGCCATGCGGCAATGTGCGGGATCCCGCCGACGGCGTGTTTTGCCAGCAGGTGCTTGGCTGACGCCTCGGCTTCGAGGACGAGGGCCTCGCTGCCGTCGTCGCTGGGGCCGGGCGGGACGCCCTCGACGACCATGAGGAGGGCGCGGTAGTCGGGCCGTAGCTTGTAGATTTCGGGAGCGACGTGCGCCGACTGCAGTGTTGTGTAGAGTTTGCGAGACTGATGGAGGGTTGGGTGAAAATCAACAAGATACTTACGACAGTGGGGGTTTTCCCTCGTACCGCTCCACCAGGTCTGGCTGATCAGCAGCATGATAATGTGTTTAGCACGTTTTCGCGGATTACTTTTAGCTTCTAGAATTAACTGAAAACTTGGCAATTAAGCCTTTTACAGGCATTTACGCGGTCCCTATTAGCTCAACACATCTAGATGTCATGAACAGGGGGTCATAAATGATGTGGGTTCCTATAACCTTATGTGTAAGTCCCTTACTAAAAATGGGTAAGCGCCATAATTATGCGTGTTATGCAGCGTTCCAGCCGGCTGACGGTCAGTGGCGGTTTATAGGATCAGGGCCCAAAAATGGCAAGACGAGACAATAAGCTGGGGTCGCAGCGTTTTAAACGGGCGGCTGAATTTGTGCTCTGTAGTTCCTCCAGGCACATCTGTGTATATTGGGCGGTGCCGAGGCATATCATTTATACTGGCCTGCCCCGCATTGACGCAACTTGACGGGACGTTGACATGGGGCGCGCATCCATGCACGACTCCATCAAGGTTGCGGGTGGGTTTTCCCGATCTAGATGCGGCGACTCGGCCCGCCCACTTATTACTTGGTTTAGTCCATGTACGCAGGTTACACGACGACTCCATGTGTACAACATAGTCTGTGCCTGGCGCCTCGTCCGGTCAACAGCCATGGCTTCGCCTGCATGCCGGGATTGCCCTTTGCAGTCGACTGTGCCATAATACCTTCCAACCGTCACTGTCACCATTTAAAGTGCAAGTACAAGTGTAGGTGTAGTGTGAAATGGTTGATTTGAATTTGGAAACCCAAGTGTTGTATTAAGATCCAAAGCTCGATTCCGACTCCCTGAACCACGTCCGTCAAGAATCAAAGAAGAAAACAAAGTCGTACTCTCAGAGATTTAGGCTCGGGCCATTCCCCAAGGTACCAGAAAGAAAAGGTCCCAATCCGTGCATTTCGTCCATGTTCCATCAAGTCCACCACCAAATGTCAACCACAGAAAATGTAACCCATTAAAATCCAACCAAAAAAAAAAAAAGGAAAACATCCCAATCAGACTTTCTCCCCACCAATGCGTAACAACCGGCAAACCCGGCAGTAGTCGCGGCATCCCACGAAGTATAATCCCGGGAAGAAGCTCCGTATTAGGCAACGTGGCACGCCGTCAACATTTGCGACTGTATATCGACCATGCGCCTCCGTCGCGGAGAAAGACAGATACATGTCGAGAGAGAGGGCCGTGGGAGCTGAGCGCCAGCGTACGTCTGAAGTCTTCGCTCGAAAGACACGCGAATGCCACTCTGCTAGCTACCTAGCTCAAAGCCTGGCACATCAGCCCAGAAGGAACTGTAATCGACCTCAGGTCCAGTATACTCGTGTGTCAAACTACATCCAACATGTTAGCTTAGGACCGAGATGCCGCCGTCGCCACAAACAAAGATGACGAATTTCCACTCACTCAGTAAATCTAATTCTACCCGAATGGTGTTCAAGAATCTGCTCCTCAGCGACAAAGGGATCAAGTGGTTGACCATCATATTCAACATCATCCCATGTTAACACGACGGAAAAGAGGGAATCATAGTTTAGATATTTTTGGACTTGGATACTGGTTGGAACTGGAAAATGTGAAGCTGTGCGTCAATGTACATATTAGTTACAAGCCCGGCTCCCCTTTTGAATTGTAATTGCTACTTACAGAACAGTGAATCCACCTGGGCTCTCACATTGGTAAATTGCGACAGGTCTTCTACCCATAATCTGATGCTGAAATTGCGTGGTACCTCATACGTTTCGTCATCTGCGCCTTCATCATCTGGCTGTTCGGGGCCGTCGTATTCGGAATCGTCGGATTCGGAGTAATTGTAATCCGAGTCATCTGCGAATACGTAGTAACGGTCCAATTCGTAGTAATAGCGGTGTATGTCGAAATAATCATCCTCTATGGGGGACCTGGGGGCCTGGGGGGAAGAAGAGGAAGGGGGAGGCGGGGGGAGGGGGGGTGTGTCGATCCTATGAGGCATGGCGACGGTGTGAAAGACTTGTCGTGGCTTTCCCAACTTGATTTGTATGGCGCGTGTGCGTTTGTATGTGTTGTGTTGAACGGTATTTAGTGAGGTTGTCGGTGGTCGAGAGTAGAAACCTCAAACTGGAGGAGGAAAGAGAGCCGTTATATAGACAGTTCTGTCATTCCATCATTCTATCGCTCCGTCACTCCACCACTCCATCATTCTATGAGTCCACGAGTCCATGCAGCCATGAACAGCCTGGAATCATCTTTGCCGCCCACCAAGTCGGCACCAGCAAGACTAGAAATGAGGCATGAAGTGAGAAGTGAGTGGAAATACGAAGCCTCCTGGACACAGCATATGCATATAGCATCCAATACGTGGACGACAACCCACATGTCCATACACAGGTACTATCACAAAGCCTTTCCGCAGCTATTCAGACATGCCGCGCGCCTTTGTACGTCCCCTCCTGATGGCCGGCCTCGCGTGTTCAAAGAATATGCCCCAGCAACCCAACGCGGCAAACGAGGAGCATGTATTTTCAGGCCTCAAGAAATGCATGGTTGCAGTTTCGTTGGGCTCATGACTGGATTCGGCAAGTGTTCACGCCGAGTTCTGCACTTTACGAGGTGGCATCCTATTGTCTGGCGTAGCACACCACAGTGTATGTTTTCTTGTTGCATTGCAAGCACCATCCAAAAATAAAGATGCATTCGAAAATCTCTCAGTTACTCAAGGCTTCAATAGTAGAGTCTAGAATGCCATGCAGACTATTCTCGTATACAGCCGACTGCTGCAAGAGAGCAGAGTGGTGTGTGCCTCGACACCCATTTGGCGTTTTGGTGACCGTCAACGGAAACATAAGCGGGAACAGTCGCTGTCTAATTAGAGCGCCTTCTTTTTGTGAAAGTGACTGTTCTTACCATGGTGCTCCCAGGAACATCCTGACTGCACTGGAGAGTAACTCCTCCGGTATACTTACTCCCTGACTGAACCGAGGGACGTCAGCATCGGCGGATGGTGTCATGCCAGATGGTTCTCCGGGGCTGGACCGCGCGGCATGATTTTCTAAACAGCGTGACTTGGCCGACGTATATGCAGGAGCACTGCGCTGTTCGGAGCGAGTCTGTAAATCAGGAGGAGTAGGTTGCGGCCTGCAGGTATACGTTGAGACTGCGCATGAATGCAAGCAAGGCCATTGTGTTCCGGATCCTGGCCTTGGGCATGAATCTTCGAAATGAAAGTCGAGCCACGGTCCGAGAGGCCAGTCTGGACGCATAGAGGCTGTGTAGAAGTGAAAGCAGGGCCATGGGCCGGGCCGTGCTGCATGCTGTTCAGAGCGAGTGTCCATGGCAGCGAGAGCAAGCCCATGGTCTGGAAGCCCCGGCTGGACGCACCCGAGACTGTGACAAGCGAATGCGAATCCGACGTCTGGAGGAATTCGGCCCAGACAGTATGCCGTGACCAAGACAAAGAGACGTTGCCCCTGATTTGTTCCGGCTATCCGTGGCCATTGTCGCCTGTGGCTCACGTCGAAGCACAGACGGAGATGTTTGCTCACTCCCACGAAACAAAGCGGCATCCTCGGGCAGACGAGGATACGGTAATATGCGGCCGGAAAATGCACTAGATATGTCATGTTGGACAGGTATACCTGCAAAACCAGAGCTCTCACCCGGCAAGCTATATTGGAACCGTCTGTCCTGATCAAGATGAACAGATGTCTGACATGAACCCTCCTGGCCACGGGTGCCCAACGCCGTATACAGTTCATCTGGAGACGTGGACAGAGGCGGTTGTGCAGTGCAACCAGCCGCGGATGTATGTAATAGCTGACCATTCTTATCGAATGTCAGTTGCGGACTTGAGTAACCATGCTCGTTGACTCTGCCCGTAGAGCTGGATGGATCGTCCAGCCCAGCCGCAGTCGATACGTCGCGTCCGAACTGAACAGCAGCAGCCAGCAGCGGTCGTGTTTTCCATTCACCTGAGCCGCGAGTTGTCTGTTCAGGGGTATGCCCGTCAGGAGGTGGAAGTTGAGCCGTCAACTACTTGCCCCTCCAGCCGAGCCGCTAGTTTTCTCTTCGATCCGACATCGATGCTTCACACAATTTCCCTCCGTGTTGAGTCGTCAGTTGGTCCTTTGGTAGTTCGTTTATATTGGTATGAACCACGACTCTCCGCACTCACGGCCCCTCGGGCCAGGCCGGCCGCTATCTCTTTAACAGTTTGCTCACATTGATATGAAGGACAATGTAAATAAAGACTGCTCGATCCTCTTCCTATACAAGCTGAGTTGGCAACTGTCACTTTAACAGTCTGTTTACGTTGATACAAACAACGACTCCTCACACGCTTTCCCCCCGAGCCGAGTCCCAAGCCGTCTCTCCAATAGTTCATTTACACAAATATGAACAACCATCTCTCGGCCTCCTATCCCCTTGAACCGAGCCGATAGTCTTCCGTTTAAAGCTGACCAAACTCAACGTTTAGCAGTAACCTTCCTTGGAGGAACCCAAATCGCCCAGGACAATCCAACGCCCTAGTCGACATCAAGACTCTCAATCAACGCCTTATTCTCATCGACGACGCTCACTCTGTTGGAGTGTCAAAAAAGTCACCGCCACCATGTATACCCCGTGCCCGGGTGCAGTGTTCCTTACCGCCAGGGAGTAGGAATGCAGACCACAGGATGCCCGAGCATCTGTCGGCAATCGCGCCACGCAGCACGGCATTCTTCCCGGGAAGTACACTGCACGAACCACGCTACTTTCCCGTGTCTCGAGACGAGCCCCGTCTTGATCTTGGTGAACGTCATCGTCAGCTTGACCACCCCTGTGAAATCCTCCCCCTTCCCGTCCCAGTGGTCGACCTCGTTCTCCGCGTACTCGAGCCTGATGAGAGTGTCTCCCATTTCTGCTTCACCGGGAGACATGGTGCGCTGCTGAGCCGATATTTGTCGCGACTTGGTAAATCTGATACTGCAATGCGTTCCAAAGTGGATGTAGAAGAGGAGAATAAAACAAAACAAAACTCGTGGCCTAGGTGAGCACTCTCAACATCTGCTTTGCCGCGCAACGCGCCGTGAATCGGGGTAAAGCAAAGTGCAGGAGCTGGGCGTGGCCGCAGACTGCTTACTGCTTGGACTACTGCCGGGCCTTCCTTCCAATAAACGTACAGTAGTGATGGCACGAGAGACAAACACGGAGACCTTGAATTGTATTGCGGTGCTGGGTGCTTACCTATGCGGATACAGCGACGGCGCTTAGAACATGTAGGAGATGGCGGTATGCGGCCAAGTGCCAAAGGGAACAATTTTAAGCTGGATGTTGGAGATGTTTGGCCAAGGGCCGCTATTGATGCATCTTTTTGCTTCATATCTCAATGGTTTAACCAAATAGTAATTCGTGACATTTTGTCTTTTGGATACTCGTGGTTTTGTCTGGCTGTCTCCTGTAAACTAATCGTCATGACAACTTGAACAGCCACAGAAACTGGTCGTATTTACTCAGCTTTGAAGTATTATCCTCACTAGGTGATTCTAGCGACGTCTCCATATATTGCCTGGCTAAATTACCAAATTTCTTCGACTCTGGATCGTCCGCCATGCTAGTGATCTGAACCGGCCAATCCATCTGAGCTTGCTCGAGGCCGAGAGCTTCCTCCCCCCCCATACCCTATAGTTTCAATCCTGGCAAGTTGCCCGAGTGTATGCAAGTCTCATAAGACTGGGGCTACGTATTAGCCTGGATATGAAAGGGAAGTTGTTTTTACTTACTTCTTTTGGCAAAGCTTTCGGGGTCGTTGACCTACCTTTGCCAACTATACAATGCCCATGCCGTGTAATTCCTCGCGTCACGTAACCTGGTATTTTCCATGACAGAGGTCGGATTGAATAGATCAATCTTGTGGGCAGTGGCACATGCTTGGATTGTGTAGGCGTATCCAATCTTGTCAGCCCCAGTTTCGCTGTAGATGATGTGGAAAACAAGAGCAGCCTGGATGGTCGTTAGTTTATCGAGACCTTTCTCATACTCCCACAGCCTCTTGGCCTCTGCCAAAAAGCGGTAACCTAGGGCTTGAGGATTCCAAAACTCGGTACGGTCATCAAGGCCGCGATAATATTTCTAGGCCCGCCATGCTCAATCAGCGAATAGGTTCTGGTCAAAGATGCCGAGGGGGATATACTCACACAAGACAGGGAAAGCAGCGCATTAACAAGTAGAGACGAGCACAGTTCGTCGTGCATCTTGGACATGTCCTCGAGAAAGTAATCTCTTTGGAATGTGGTCCACCAGTAATGATGCGCTGAGCAGTCTTCTCATCAACAGGTCATCAGAGCTGACACTCGTCCATTTTGATGGCACAATGGAACTAAGCCGAGTATCGATTATATTGGCTGCATGGTACGGCATCAAGTATGGGGCGCCAATTTCAGAAAACGCATCGCCCGGCAGTTGATGCGAGGAGGGAGCTCCAGACGCAGCAGCATCTCTCAGTGGTAATGGAGGAGCCCACTTGTATATCAACGAATTCAGATAGACATTGTACTGAAGCAGGAGACAAGGAGGCAGGTTCGAAGAAAGTGGGAACTCGTAGCGATACCCCGTCTCGGGTACGAGAAGCGATTGTAGAAGCAAGTCGCCGCGTTCGACCGGATGGGCAATGTCGTCTGCGTTTTCGCCCCTCTGTATCTTTTTCACAATGGCTCCCACATCAGCCTCAGACCGGGAGCGAATTGCGTCAAATATACTTTTTTATGTAGTGCTGTGGCTCTTTAGTTATTCGTACCTTGCATTTGAATACTTTGGCTTGTGTCTCACCAGGACCCTATCGTAAATGCATTCCACATGTCGCCGGATACACGCAGTGCACGCAGGGCGGCCACCGCTGCACTAACATGGCAAAGATTTGTTATTTTGAAGAGGAGCCACCTGAGAAAAATGGGGGAAACAAGCCTTGGAGAGTGTGGAAGCATCACGCTCTTACCTTGGTTTTACGCTTTCGACATGCTGTGCAGGCTGCTGTCACCGGAGATGACTGCTTTATCCCAAGACTACTAGAGGCGATGCTACGATTACCAGTCGATGGAGCAGGAAGAATCGGGCAAAGTTTCGATGGATTGGGGGTTGATTCCGACATGCTGTAATGAACTGCGGAAAATACGATTCGAGATGGAAGAATCGTACCGGTCTTGATATGAAATCTGAATATTGAACCTGGCGTGGCTACTAGAGAGCAACGGAAGGTCCCCGAGGCGTTGAGCCAATCAGCCCCGCGCAAATTATGCATTCACGGCAGATGAATATGAAACAATTTTATGCTTGGGATGTCTCAGTCCGCCGGTTGTGTCATTCATGGTTGTACCAAACTGCATGTCAATTGAGACAAAATGGGTGTTTCCTCCCGGCTCGGTGCACCATCTGCACACCCCATTGTCTAAATATGATCCTTGAGTCTACTTGTCATACAGAGTCTCAATCAGGCTGTACTTTGAGTTATCCTTTACGCAATTCTCGCGGGACCATTATTCCCGATCAGAGCCTAGCTAGGACCTGGCGGGCGCCCAAGTTTGTCCAACAACTCCGCCATATCGAGTTTACGACTTGTTGTCCCTGCAAGACATGTAAGCAATCGAACCACGCCTTTCAAAGGATCCTAGCGGTAACTAAGCCGTACTTATCCTCGAAGGGATAGATCACTGCAGCCAGCCCAGAACGGGCCAGGGCGGTGTGACACGCCATGGCTGTTTCGCAGCCTGCATGCGAACGTATCTTTGTTATCCGTATCTTCAACGGGTCCCATTACTGGGTGAAATGATGCCAACAAGGTGAACAACCTGGATAAGACATCACCGCCTTTGCTTCCCCTATTGTAAGCAACAATCTCTTTCGATACGGCCAGGATCATGTCAAACCCTGGCGTTCCCAATGATGCATAAACGAACGTAGCAATGGCAACTATTGACATTTGAAATTCTGTTACAAAATGCTTACTATTACATGCGCAATATTCACAAAAGGTCCGGTGGAATAGCCATCGTATCTGGGCTGGACAGGTATTACTCCTGTGAAGATGTAGGTATTTTGTGACTTTGCATCCTGGGAAACTCGTACCGCGATACCCGCTAGATTTCGCATAAGGAAGTATGAGGATCACTATTAGCTACTGAGACAATTGCATACATGGTCCGGGGCTCTCTTCTCATTTACTTTGTAGGACTACGTACAACTCAGCATCGACACACGTTGGCCCCATCTTCATCATGACCATTGTCCAACATGATCTCACCATTTTGTAAGCTACAAGGTCCCCAGAAAAATAACCTCTGCCACGCGCTATTAGCGGAAGTGTATACAAGTAAAAAGCCTACCTACCCGTCCAGGCTGTCGCCGGGTGTGTTTGGCTGCACTGGCGGTGGACGTTTAGCGAGTGACAAAAGAGCACTCTTCGGCTCAAAATTCAGAGCTATGAAGCGAATATTTCTGTTCATCTCAAACTAGATATAAGAGTGACATGGAGCAGCCAGCGTCATTGGCAACTGTTCATGAACAGGAGTGAAAATGTGGCATGTCGCGTCCACATCCAAAGCAGCCCGTCGAAGGGTCCAGAAAAACTCACAAGCTCTTGATCCAGTTTTCAGATCATGTTTCTTGCCGCTTTCGACATGTTCGAATCTAAACAATTATGCTCAAGAAACAAGGCTGCAGAATGACTGAGGCCCAACTCTTAGTTGTTCAAAAAGTGCCGCTCGGCTTATTTCAAAGCCGTACCTACTTATATGAGCAAAGCGTAAACTTCAATCTTCATGACCAAGATAGAAGCCTGCCCGGTGTAGATTTTCTCTCTCTTTCTTTGTTCGCGTCAAGCTCATCCGCCTCTTTTGTTCGCTCAGCCATGCAGCTCAGTTTCTCTGGACAGTAGTGAATGGAGATGTTCTCTGCAAAAGATGCTGAATGCCAGAAACTAAGCAAAAAAAAAAAAAAAAAAAAAAAAAAAAAAAAAAAAGAACCAAGAGCTGCAGAAACACTGCTCTCGAAACTTTGCCGCCGGTAGATGTCTCATATCAGAGTACAGCCTGTGGCAAGTATATTCGCATACCATGAGTTTACATTAATCTGTCACAGTGTACTATCAGGTAGCGAGCGATAAATGGGTTCCTGGTGCGATCAAGTTCCTCTCCTCTGCATGCTGTCAAGCGTAGTGAGTCTGCCGGGCGGATCGCTGAATATTGGAGGGAAAACTGACAGACAAGTAGAAGGTTGAGCTAAATAACCACAAAAAGCAACCGTAGCTTCCGTGAGGCTCAGTTCTACAAAGATCAACAAAGTCTTAGAGGATTCATAGAAGATTGTTGTGTCGGGGAATGTCTGGGACGGAACAGCCGGCTGTTCTACGAGTCCACTTCGCCGTCGGGATGCGGATGCGAAAAGCACTGTGCTTTAGATATGCGGTAAACAAGGTATGGCTGATCTGACTCCCGATTCTGACCCTTTCACTTTGCCTTGCTTTAGTTTCAGCAATTTTTGGCTAAGCTGCCGTTGTAGTCAACATCGGACCTGTGGGCGCTGGATCTGGCGGCATTGTTGGAACCCCTAATATCATTTTGTGGTCTCGTAGTTTTTGGTCTCACCATCGCAGCTGAATCAGGATATAGAATCCAATGCGGCGTTACGTCTTTCAGTTTACCAAGGATAATTGAAAAGTGTAATACATAGTGTATCCCGATGACCCCAGCCAGACGCGAGACGAGACGACTAATTGTCGCAAGTATGTCCTAAACCAGCACCAAGTGTAATGCTAGAATTTCACCTAGATACTTGATATAACATTAGACCCTGTCTTATAGCCCTAGAACTTTATATGACCTTGTGTTTCCATGAAGTGCGAGTCCGACATCGTGGACCATGGGTCGCCCTCGTTGCATCTGGTCATACTAGCTGCTCACAGCATACAAGAAAATGCCTCGCTTCACGGAAAGAAAATACGAATTGCTATCAAAAGATCCATTATTTGTGTCGACGACGACAGAATATGCGATTGCTGCACCTCGGTGTCCAAGGGCGGTTCTTGAACACCACCTGCTTCACACAACTCCCAAAGAATAAAGATTTGCTGGCGAATCAACTCAACTCTTCGTACTAAGCGCAATCACACTACTCCTTGAGATCTCGGCGTTGCTCATTCATCTTCTCCTAATAGCTTCTCATCACATTAGACAAAAGGGTACGAACTAATGCTAGAATAAGTGGCACAGCCTTACATGTATCCCTACAGAAAAAGCGAAAACTCAATGCACAACTAAGCAACGCAGAGTGAGAGGGAACACATCAATCTTCCATCTCTTATAGACATTCGACTCACGGAGGAGTGAAGAGAAGAACGCATATGCTGAGATGGGACCAAAGTTCGTCCATGGTGAATTGCTCAACCAAAACATGCTTTCTCTGGTGACTTGGACAAGGAACAGAAAATTTGTCAAATGTAATTTAAACAAATTCTCTTGTAATCATTGTAATGGTCCTGGTCCTGTTATGCCCTTAAAAACCATCCTTCCGGATGATGCCGAATCCCCAACGCCATTGCGCCAAATCAATGTGTTTCGTCAGTCATCACTTCATGTTCGTGTTGCCCCTGATCGCGTAGCGTTAGGTATATTCCAGATTCATCATACACAGAGAGCCTTACTGATCCAGCCCCAAGTAGTCAGCCGCAGCTAAAAGTTCCAAACACAGTTCTACGGGAATGTCCATATCGGGAACATCATCGCTATTTCGGTAACGGTACCAGTAGTGGAAGTACTCGACCACTTTGTCGAGAACCATGCCACTGCAATAAGGAAGGAGAAGAAAATGTCAGCTGCCGGATCGTGCAACGTCGAGGCAGCGAGGGCCAGAGCGGAAGGGCGGGCCAGGGTATTGAGCATGCCCTGACCATCAGTTCAAGTGTAGTGAACAATCAAGCAGCCCGGCCAGCTAAGAAGCGGCGTTCTGTCATGGACGGATGAACATGGTGTTGCATCGTGATTGCTCTGTCTTCATCCTACTGGCCAAGGCACAGAAACAGATGGAGGATCATGCACCACTCACTCCGGCTGCCAAAAGCTTACCTCATCTCTTGAAAGACACAGCGTGCATCCTTAGCCTCGGCGAACTGGCCTGCACCTGCTGTGAGCTGAATTGAACTCAAGACGTCTTGGGAATATGCAGCAAAGCGATGGCATTCACGCACTTCGCACATCCAACATGCCCTTGATGATAGGGCTCACCATGGCAGCCTCGCGCAGGACGACAAATTCGAAGCCATCACCTGATACTAGAGTGACATACTTGCTCGGCGTCTGCAGCATCGCCATGACGGGTGCGTGGCGAGGAGGCGAGTCTGCAGGCGTGACGGGGAGAGTGTGAAAGGACGAACTTGAAACTGCTTGCGCGAAAGTTTTAATGGTCAAAAGTGGGTCATTGTGCGTGCCAGCTGAGGTACCCACACGGTCCCATTTTTCCACACAGGGACCTCCAAAAGCTTACTGTCGGCCGGCGCCCTCTCATTGGCCAGCGTGTCTCAGTTGCCTCGCCAACAGATCGACGCCCTTGTTTCGGCTGCTTCACCTCAACGTTCGCCCGCCATTTCACTTATTGCCCAGTTCGAGCCCGACTAGAGAGAAGCACAAGTGCAATTCTTCCACACCTTTCCACCTTCACCTCTCTTTGTTTTCGACATTCTCAGCGTCGACCGTATCATCACCATTATCCTCACATCAACATTTGCCATACTCACCCGCCACTTGGTGAAGCAGATATAGACCGAAAACAATCATTGGCGTCGCCCTCGACACAGACCACCTCTATTATTCCCATTCCCGCCAGCCGGCAAGCAGCATTCCAGAGGCTGTCATCGAGTGAAAGTGGGTTCAAGTCGCGTCTGAACCCTTCTCTTGGCGCAAACGACTCTTTTTTTGGGTTTTTTTTTTTGCTTTCTGCCGCACGTACTTTCGGCACAGCGCATCGGGGATGGCTTCGCATTACAGCAATTCATATTACGCACCGGCCAGTAATGAGCAGCCGAGGCGACAACAGCGCACGCGCTCGAGCAACGGAACTGTCAGTACCACAGTGAGCTCGTCCTCTGGACGGGAGTCTGCAGCAACTCATATGACGGACGTGCCATCCTACTCGAAGAAGATTGTCGTGGTTGGTGACGGCGGTTGTGGCAAGACGTGCTTGCTTATTAGCTACAGCCAAGGCTATTTCCCAGAGGTGAGACGAAAGCGCCTGCGTCATTTTTTTTTTTTTTTGTTTTTTCATGTACCCACTGACAACAATTTTGGTAGAAATATGTCCCAACTGTTTTCGAAAACTACATCACCTACCCCACACATGGTCCTACTGGAAAGACTGTTGAGCTGGCATTGTGGGATACCGCCGGCCAAGAAGAATACGACCGTCTTCGCCCTCTCTCTTATCCCGAGACGGACTTGATTTTCGTCTGCTTCGCGATTGACTGCCCGAATTCACTGGACAATGTTCTGGACAAGGTACTTTTCTGCTGTTGGACCAACTGTAACATGACATTGTTGATGCTGACAATGCCTAGTGGTACCCCGAAGTCCTTCACTTCTGCCCGTACACCCCGCTCATTCTGGTCGGCCTCAAGTCAGATCTGCGCTACAAAAAGACCTGCATCGACATGCTCAAAACCCAGGGCCTGACACCAGTCACCACGGAACAGGGACTAGCCGTTTCCGAGAAGATGGGCGCTCAGTACATGGAGTGCAGCAGTAAAGAAATGCGAGGAGTCGACGAGATCTTTGAGCGCGCCATTTTAACAGTTGTTGCCAATGACAGGCGGAACCATGACGCCATGGCATCCGGCTCTGGTAATGAGAAGATGTTGCCAATTCCCGGAATGAAGCCGCCCAAAAAGAAGAAGAGACGATGCCAGATTCTTTAATGGCCCCTTGTTGATAACCGTTTCCAACCTTCAAAGAGCGCGATCAATCATATAGGACTGGCCTGTCGCATACAGAATCGTAATGACCATCGCATGAGATCTCTTCGACGCTTTAACACTTGTTTTTTCCTTTTCCTTTTTTTTTACGATTGCACTTGTTACGAACAACATGGACACACTTTGCCTCGGGGGTAGAAGAAATAGCATGATCGAAGGCAAGGCAGGTATCCTGAGCTTGAATTATGCTTATGCTCTCCCGAGGTTTTTGGTACATAGTACGTCGGATTAGGCGTGAAGGTAAACCCGAGTGGAATGGAGGATATGACGGACGGAATGTAGGAGACTGCGGGAGTCGTGGGAACTACCTATACGGAATGGGTTGCGAATTTTGTTACATGGTATATTTGCATTTTTGTTGCTCTCGTTTTCATTTGTACGATGGCCTGTTGAGTGTAGGTTGGGTAGGGAATTACAAAAAAGACATGGAATTATTCGTGTCGTCGTGTGATTGTCCCGACGTATGAGGCCTGCTCATGCGCGTTCCAATTTGTATTTATACCGTGATACATGTTTTTTTTCTTTCTCGCAGATTGGTATCATTCATGTCCTTCGTCACCAGGTGGCTCCGTCTTTTCGCCCTGGTGTTTTGCTTCATCCTTTGCCATGACGTTTTCGAATTGTGACCACAGTGCTTCGACGGAGGAGAATTCATTGCCGACCTATCTTGTTAGGCTGGGCATTACGGCGAAGCTTGGAAAGAGGTGGGGGCCTACTTCTATGACAGATTCAAGAGACCGGTTGAGTTTATTGATGTTTGCGAGGACGTGTTCGAAACTCTGGGCAGTGAGTTAGCTTGTCTTCATTGGCAGTCTTGTAGTTTGCAGCTGGAGGACAAGCGGTGGGACGAACTAGTGCGATGTCGCCGAGCAGTGCTTCGCGCTGTTGTTCGAAGTAGGACTTTTCGCGGACGGGGTCCATTTCGGAGGTGCGTTGGCGCTTAGCCATGTCGTCTCGTCCCGGACACGGCCTGATGCGCAGAGAGTTGCGGAAAAGGTGTGCGTCGCGGTTGCGATGCAGAAACGCGTGCTGGGATGGTGGGGGCCTTCGACATGGCAGCATTGCTCACGACTCTGTTGTGGGGCCAGCCTGTGAGGTCTCCGGTTCTTGTCCGCCAGCGATCAAAGTGCAAATGTTTGTCGTAGGCTTGTCATGGAAACATCCATTAGACAACGATGGATTAAGCGGTCTCATCTCAGAGCCGGATAGATGCGTCTATATACAGGTACACGAAACCCACTCGTACTCGTACACACAACGACTTTTTCTTGTCCAGTCGCATCGTAATCATCTTCGACTTCCAAAACCCGCCATGCTGGAAAAAAAAAAAAATCCTGAAAATACAAGTGAAAAAAGATTTCTTGTCTACCATCATGAGAGGAGCATTATACATCTTGACCCAACGCCGGCCCTTTGAAGATTCATAGTTTTTGGTTGATTTTCGCCCATAGTAGTACACTGACATGCGTTTTATCCACAGCCGCACGCTTTTAATATTTTATAAAGAGGTGGCGTCCACGCATTTTTGAGAGGACGGAGAAGCGGTAGGTTGGTGAGTTAGAAGAGTGGAGGAGTATATGTTGTTGTTGATGATTGAAGTTTAAGCGTTCTTGACGACGCCGACCTTGGCGGCACGCAAAACACGCCCATTGAGCTTGAAGCCCTTCTGCTGGACGTGGAAGACGAGATTGTTCTCCTTGTCGGGTTGGGGCGCCATAAAGGTGGCCTCATGCTCGTTGGGGTTGAATTTTTCGCCTTCCGGGTTTAGCCGCTCCAGGCCGTGCTTGGCAAGAGTCTGCATCAAGATGTTCTCGGTCATCTTGAGGCCGTCGTACAAGTTGATGAGGTCCTGACAAGCTTCATCCTTGGCGGCGAGCTTCTCGGATGGAACCATAGTCAAAGCACGGTCCAGGTTGTCAACACTCTCGACGAGATCCTTTGCGAACTTTTGGATAGCGAATTCTCGGGCCGTCTTGACCTCACGCTGAGTGCGGTCTTGCAGATTGCGGAAGTCAGCAACGGCGCGCATGCATTTATCCTGTTACAATTGTGAGATATTATTCAGAAGGGAGTGTAGCCGGTGAATATGCGGCTATGAGAATCACAGATTTTTACCTTCCAGTCACGAGCTTCGGCGTCCTTTGCCGCGAGAGACTTCTTCAGCTCAGCGACAGCATCCGTCTCACCGGCATCCTCTTTCGCCTCGGCTTTCTCGGCTTTCTCTCCCTCTTCCGGTGCCTCCTTAGCGTCGCTATACCACCGAGCCGCTGCTGGCTGGGCCGCTCTTGATGACCACGCAGCAGGGGCTCTCTGGAATTGAGTTCGCAGCAGCGGCTGGCTGGCTGCCAGGCGAGGAGCAGAGCGCAAAGCTCGGGATGAGGTAGAGAAAGCCTGGCGCAACATTGTGGGAGGAAATATGGCAGAGATGCGGAGGGGCGGAGGGTTCAATTGTGAATGCGCAGTGAATTGAGGGTATCGCGTGAGCTGGGAATTGTCTTTACATGGCTGCTCTGAAATTTCAATGCCGGATAACGGAGGCAAAGGAGGCAGCGGATCAACTCCGGGCCGTCCGCCAGTCCGTCATGGAAGGTAACTTACCAGCTGCTAATCCGGAGCTGGTTGGTGGGTGCAGCCGCCCGACCAGGCAAGGCGGCTGTTGGCTGGGGCCTGCGACACGCGCTCTGTGGCAACCTGGAAGAAGATTGGAACTCCAATCAGAGCTCCTTCCAATTCGATATCCAGCATTGCACCTCATCATCATCCACATACCCGCCTCACGCAACCTGTCTTCTGCCAACAGCCCGACCGTCCCCGTCTCTAACGAGCACTTTCGGCCGCTTTTGCTTCCGTAAAACCCTCAAGTCCCCGTTAGCAGACGTTCCTTCGCCGCTCCACCTCCAGAATGGCGGCCGCCGCCTCCAGCCCGCTCCCAGAA